CTCCGCCCGGTCCCCGGGGCCCGGCGCCGCCCTCGCCGTGACAACGCCCGCCCGCCACCCGCGTCCTCCCACCTGCCACCAGCCCGCGGGCGGCCGAGACCGTGGTGAGGGGCGGGCGGCTGTGGACCCGTCAACGGTCTGTCAGCGCCGGCGGGGGACGGGGGCGCGGCTCTCACCTGGCTCTGGGGAGGGGCTGGCGCGGTGCGGACGGGGGTCTCCTCTCCAGCGCCGGAGAGCCGAGACCGAGCCCCCTTCCTGTTGTCTCGCCACGCCCCCCTAGCCCTCTCAGATGCGAGGCACGGTCTGTGCAGGAGGGTTTAACCCCGGAACTAGGGACCTGGCGCTGCCGTCGCTGTCGATGTCTTCGTCGCCGCTGCAACCGCCACTAACGCCGCCAGGGTCGGGTTTGAAAACATCTCCAGTCTGTCCGTCTCTCACCACAGCCTCCTCGCTCCCAGGACCAGCGCCGCCCGGCGATTGGCTGGAGCGCTGCACGTGACCCCCAGCAGCACGGGACGAGCGGCGTGCCGGCCCCGCCCCGCGGCCTTCCGCCCGGCCCGCCCTACTCCCCCCGGCGTGTTCTTTCAGCTCAGTAGAGAGATACGCCGCGCCGCCGGGGGGCGAGGGGAGGAGGGAGTCGGAATGTACCAAGCCTGAGACGGCATGGGGGGTGGAGGTCTGAACTCCACCCTCTGTGCCCTCTCCTCTCCGGGGAACCAGCAGTGTCTCCCCCCCTCCCCTCCACTCCTGTCACCGGCATTAGCTGGGAGGGGGTAACCAAAGGGTAAGCGAGGAGGCGGCGCAGGCGCCCCTGACGCTGCCGGGCAAACGGCTCTGTAGTGGCTTTTCGTGGCGACCATGGCAGTGGCTGTGACTGGAAACTTCTGGAAATTGTGGTGGCGGCGACGAAGAAGCGCCTCCACACGAAGGGTATTCATAAGTTATTTATGCAGGGGGGTAGCTGGGCCAGTTTGTGAGCTCGGACCCGGGCCACACGTTGAAGCGACTGCGGTTTGAGGCGGAGGTGTATGATTTCTCCACCCAGCTCCGGCTGCCAGCAGCTGGCTGAGGGCGTTCAAGGAGGGGGCGGGGCGGCGGCCCCCAGTTCCGCGCTGCCGTGCGCCTGCGCCGCGCGGCGGGGCGTCGCCGCTGAGGCGGCTGGGCTACTCCGGAGCCCGCGGCCCTGCCGCGGATCTGGAGCGCGGGACGCCGCTCGGGTGGAGATGCTGGCCCGCGCCGGCCTGCCCCTTGGGGCCCCGGTTGTCTGGCCCGAAAGCGCCACACGTGCACCTGCTGGGGTGACGGTGGACTGGCGGAGACTATGCTCTGCACTTGAAGAGATTGTATGAGTTCCGGGGGGAGGGGTACGCAGGTACTGGGGATGAGTGCATGAGGAACACTTACCGGCTCTTCATTTAATAAGGGTGTCGCAGTAGCGTGTATTCTGACTTCCTCCTGGATACCTTTTACATCTAGGTTAATCTGCAATAATTTGTATGTGCCTTAATGTAACCACTAGAGGTTCGAGGTTTGAGTCCACCCAAAGGCACCTCGCAAGAAAAGCCTGGCTATCTATTTCTGAAAAATCAGCCATTGAAAACCCTGTGGAGCACAGTTGTACTCTGACCTCAGTCACCATGCGTCAGAAGACAACTGGTTTGGTAATTTAACCACTGAAGGGGTTGTGCAATTGGAGGGAAACCTCTTCTCCCTCTTTAACGTTGTTAGTTGCCGTTGAGTGGATTGTGACTCATGGCAACCACATGTGTGCAGACTGGAACAGCTCCATAGGGTTTTCAAGGCTGTGACCTTTCAGAAGCAGATCATCAAGCCTGTCTTCCCAGGCCCTTTTGGGTGGGTTGTAGCCTCAACTATTGCAACATCCATTTGTGACAATGAGTGCAGTTAGAAATTTCTTATGTAAGACTCTTGTCAAAAATACAAATAGAAGCTGAGGGCTCAGATGTGTAGTGATCACAGATAATGTGACATTTCACATTTGACGAGGAAAGCTAAGTCCCAACAAGTTACTATGTTGTTAGGTGCCATGGAGTCAGTTCCGACTAATAGCAACCCTATATGCAACAGAAAGAAACACTGCCTGGTCCTGTGCCATCCCCACAATCATTATGATGTTTGACCCATTGTTGCAGCCACTGTGTCAGTCCATCTTGTCTAGGATCTTCCTCTTTTTCGCCAACCCTCTACCTTACCAAGCATGATGTCCTTCTCCAGGGACTGGTCCCTCCTGATAACATGTCCAAAGTACGTGAAATCTTGCCATTCTCACTTCCAAAGAGCAATTTAGCTGTACTTCTTCCAAGACAAATTTGTTCGTTCTGGCAGTCTGTGGTATATTCAATATTCTTCACCGACACCATAATTCAAAGGCATCAATTCTTCTTTGGTCTTGCTTATTCACTGTCCAGCTTTCCCATGCACGAAGCAATTGAAAACATCTCGGCTTGGGTCAGGCGCACCTTAGTCCTCAGTGACATCCTTGCTTTTTAACACTTTAAAGAAGTCGTTTACACCAGATTTGCCCAATGCAATGAATCCTTTGATTTGACTGCTGCTTCCATGGGCGTTGATTGTGGATCCAAGTAAAATGAAACCCGTGACAACTTCAGTATTTTCTGTTTCTCATGACGGTGCTTATTGGTCCAGTTGTAAGGATTTTATGTTGCGGTGCAATCCATACTGAAGGCTGTAATCTTTGATCTTCATCAGTTAGGTGCTTCAAGCCCTCTTGCTTTCAACAAGCAAGGCTGTGTCATCTGCATTATCGCAGGTTGTTACACAAAGTGTAAACTTGCATGAAAGATCACCGTTTTTCCTTTGCTCAGTTCCTGATTTCTCCCACCTCTACATCACTGGGTTCCATAGAATAGCAGAGAGAAACTTACGTCTAGAGGTGGAGTAGTGTTACATTTAATTTGATTATTTATGGTGTGAAATACAAAGAAAAAAAGAAATCCACTGAAAATTTAACCAACTTGTTTGCTGACATCTCCTGAGTTGATTCTCCTTTAGCCTATAGTCATCAGGAGTAGGTCATTTAGTACTGATGGCAGTGGAAATCAGCTATTTCTATAACAGTACCAAAAAACCAAACCCATTGCTGTCAAGTCAATTCCAACTCACAGGAACCCTATAGGACAGAGTATAACTGCCCCATAGGGTTTCCAAGGAGAGGCTGGTGGATTCGAACTGTGGACCTTTTCGTTAGCAGCCAAGCTCTTAACCACTGAGCCACCAGTACTCCCAAAAGAGTAATGCTTTCAAAACTGAAAGGTAGCTAATCTAGATTTTAAAATTGCTGAAATAATTTAAGCATAAATTTATGGTAACAGCTATATCTATGATGTTCCTTATTACTTGAAATTACTGAGTACATTAAAGATTCATAAGCAAGTGTGATCCAAAGGACTGTATTGACCATGCTCAATAGAATGCTGTCTGTAAAAGGAAAGTTCATTGTAGAATTTATCAGTTAAAAAAAATTTAAAAATTTAAGCTCATATTTTTATAAGATTATAGTTGCCAGTCTTACGTATTAAAAGTGGCAAATTATAAATCAGCTACATTTTGTTATTCAAAATGTCCAAAGAGGAGCTAATTTTCCTTTTCAGTGTGAAATTAGAAGTATAAATCAAGAAATATATTCTTATTTTACAAAAAAATTAAAGCCAAGGCCAAAGACTTTGTACTCTGGATAAAGATCTCAAAAGGAGCTTGAAGAAAACTACCTTATATCCTTGTGCTAGCTGATTAGTAAGCTGCTAAGGCTTTTAACTGTGATCTAGCCCTGTCTCAGGTCATGGAATCCATTCTTCAGCAAGCAGATAAAAATTTGTTTTCTTAATACCCAAAAACCCACTGCTGTCTTATTGATTCCAATAGGATAGAACTGCCCCATAGGGTTTCCAAGGCTGTAAATTTTTACGGAAGCAGACTTTCACATCTTTCTACCTAAAAGCAGCTGGTGGGTTCGAAACGCCAACCTTTCAGTTAGCAGTCAAGTGCTTTAACCGCTCCACCACCAGGGCTCCTAGTTTTCTTAATAGTCATTATCAGTTCTTTATTATGGCACAATGTACCAGGAAGTCAAGGACCCCAAGCATCAAACATCAATTTCAGATTTGTCTTCTGTATGTCAGAAATCAGATTATTTGTATTAAATATTAGTAGACTCTGACTCGAAGAGGTAACCACTAGATTTATTGGAAAGATATTACAAGATTTTCTTTTACAGTTGTAGCCAAAGTTTTATCACATTTATCTAGGATTATCACTAGCAAACACTTAAAATGTGTGTATTTGATACCTGATTAGAAACCATTCTGCTAAATTTCATTTCTTTCCATCTTGTTTAGTTCTGTACATCTTTAGAATCGTAAACTACTATTATGTTTTCCCCTATTAAGTCCAGTTCAATCAGATGATTCTAAAAATGCTGCCATATTTCAGAAAGGTGAATTTAATAAATGAAACAGAATTTTAGGTCGTATCTTGCCTTTGCAGATAACTGTTTTCATATGCTATAGGATTTTCTGGAACAATGACCCCCATCAGATTATAGTAATTCTAAACAATTAGTAGCTTTCCTTAGAACTTAGTAGCCACTCCAAAAACAAAACATAGATATTTGATTTTTTGCCAACCATAAGAATGAAAATAAAGTGAATTGTTATTGTTTGTTGGTTTATTTCTGCCATCCAACAGCAATAAGTAACCTCTCCTCCCGAAATGCCCCTTTTATAACAGCATAAGATTACAAAGTTAGGAGCTGAGAAGAGGAAAGGGGGAAGTGGGTGGTGGTAATATGTAAATGATGCCTCTCCTCCCCACTGGTTTGAGAAATAGGCGGGGATACAGCTGTCATCTCCAGCTCCAAAAAACTGACAAGGAAATTTTAATCAGTGTGCTGATATACATTCTGAAACTATCTTGGATTACTGTAATGGAATTTTACCTGCCAAGTATTTTTTAAAAAAGCTAATGAGAAAACCATCTTTAAAACCAGTGCTCTCTATTAAAATTGGTATGATCCCCTCCAAAAAATGGGAAAAAAAAAAAAATTAAGCAAGGCCCAACTCAGAATCTTAACATATACTATAGTACAATGTAAGTGATAACCTAAGAACACAGAATTTTTTATAATGGTTTAATAGTGTGCCTATAATTATAATGATCTAAAATCAATTTTCTACTTCTAGAACACTATATAAAGGTTGATAACCAGTGCATATCCTTACATTCATGGTTTTGCTTTTTCCTTCATTATGTGAAACCTCCCCACTCCTATTTAAAAAGGACATAGTGGCATTAATTTAAAGCAATACCTGTATTTTTCCATAATTTTAAATAAAAGGTTTAACAGAGTTAGCAAATAGGATAAGAAGTCAATATGTATAGACTTTTTTTTTAAGGAATAAAAGTAACTGCAAAAGTGGCTACCTCTGAGGTCAGGAGGACTCTAGGGTAGAAGGGGGACATTTTCATTGTGTTACCTTTCTTGCCATTTTAAAAATTATGTTTACCTTCTCAATTATAAGACAAAAACTAGTTTAAAAAATATTTTAATCCTTGTTTTCAGGCATCATAATTAGTAATGAATGTACCTCAAAAGCAGGGTCACAGTGACTTTGAGAAACCCTGAAACAACTGGATTAGTTTAGATTTATCCAAGCTATTCATTTTTTTCCAATTTTCAAAACTACTATAGCAAGAGGTTTTATGCTTTCTTCTAAATGGTAATATCCACACAACTGAAGAGTATATTTTTCATACTCACTGATTAATCCAATTCAGGTTATACTTCCAATTTCTTCCCGAATGTTTTTGTATACAAGTATCCCCGCTTTTCAAAAGTTCATTTTACACCACTTTGCTTTTATGAAAAATCTACGTTAGTACCTGTTTTCGCTAACCGAAAGAAATCTGGAGATTTTTGCTTTGGTGAAAGGTGGAAATTAGCATTCAGCATTTGTTTTGTCGTGAGCCATTAAAGAGGAAGCACGAACCCCGAGCAGTGAGAGTGGCCTCGCCACGCTCCTTCCCCGGGAAACACCCTCAGCATCCCAGCTCATCAAGCCACCATAGCTTTTAACTGTCTGAGCATCTGTGCTTTATCTCAATTTATTTTGCACATCTGTTAGCAAGATGCATCCTAAGGTATCAGAAAACCCTAAGAGAGCGCGTCAGAGTCTTACGTGGTATGTGGTATGATTTGGTAGGTTAATTTTTGGGTCTGGGAATGCTCAAAAATTTTTCCCATATAAATTAAGGGTAGTTGCTTCTTTGCTTTACACCATTTTGGCTTACGGAAGGTTTCACAGGAACGCTGTACTTTCAGATACAGGTGAAACCTGCACTTGTAGTGCCAGAACAGCCAAAGGTAATGTCAAGGTGTTTTGTATCTTTCTTCCTTAAAAATGATAAACGATGCTCCTAGAGACAACTACCTTATCCTAATTACATCTAAAGTGACTTGAGATGTCACTTACCAGTTGGAAATACAATGACAACTCTGTGCTGTATATTATATTCTTGCCTTCCCTCCATAATATGTTTGGAGTACATATTGACATAAATAGGATTTATATATAGAAAGATCACATTAAAGATCACATTAACTTAAGACTTGCCTGTGGATAAAGATGGGAAAGCAAAACATTTGAAATTTGGTAGAATTTTTACTTCATAGTAACCTAATACTATTATCTTTGACAAAAGTGACCTGGCAGTTGAAAATGGGTGATGTTGGAGTAACTGATAACTAGGTTATATAATAAAAGTCTTCATAGTCAGCCACAGATTTAAAATGGTGCTTCGTGGGTTTAACATGGTACTTAAGGTTACCACCAGGTATACCCAAACTGGAATTAACTAATATAAAATAAATTTATGTAGGCAGGAGAGGCATATTTTATTTCTCCAGTGACATATGACATATGTACAGTTGAATATAAATTAAAGGCCTGCTTGTATACCAAAACCAGGTCCTTTGGGTGGTTCAGTCAAAGAGGTAAGACCACCAGCTGGCTCACAAGAGAAGCGTCCACTCCTGAAAAGAAAAGCAAATTAACATTTTATTGACTAATAATTTTATCAAGTAACATTTAACAACTTTTACTTTAAAAAATTTTAATTATTACTTCATAATAGCTCAGTTAAGTACTATTTTTTCCCCAGTAACTAGCATGGATTACTTAATTGAAACATTTCAACTGCTGCAAGATTTTCTCTTCCTAAAGTTAAATAAGAAAACAGACACACCAAAACTCGTCGTGAATATGAAAACTATAAAACAACACTAATAATAGTTCTCCTTTATTGAGCAGTGTACATACACTAGCTCACTTAATCTTTACAACAATTATGAGACAAGTAATACTGGCTTTATTTTACAGATACAGAAACCAAGGCTTAGGAGATTAAGCATCTGACTGATGATTACCGCTACGAGCAATGGCAAAAATAACCCAACCGTGGAGGATGTCTTTTAAAGTCATGTTTTAATAAACTAGAGTACTACGTTTATTCTTTTCATGTTTGTATTTTATTTAAATTGAGATCCACTGTCTCAGTGCAGAGAAGGGAATACACACAGTTGTAATTCATTATTGTACACTGTATTTAGAAGTAAACACTAACTGGATTCCTTGAGGAATTTGACGATTTGAGAGGATGTCCCTTAGAAGTAGTGAAGTCAAAGTCTATATTTATATAGTTTTTAACAGCTATATTAGTGGTATTAATTTTATACTGCCTCCTGCCCCCAAAATAAAAGTTTGTGATCAGAGTGACTACTATAAACATGAAGAAAATAAAACAAGAACAGGTCCTGATAAAGAAATCCATGAAGAGAGGCAGCACACAAGTACAAGAACCTGTCTGTCCTCCTTCACCCACACACAGATTCTCCCAGGTAATCATTCACCTTCTGGCCTGTATGACTTGTGTTGCTGGAGCACAGTCCAGCACCTATTTCCTATCATTTTCATCCCTCCTACTCCCTGGCTTTGTTAATTTACCTTGTTCCTGCCACAGAGTTTAGCTGAAGAATTTGTTCAGTTCGTATCTTTTTAACCCCATCTGGCTTTGCGCTTCACATTCTGCCATCAGTCCTAGAAGTCTGTTCTTTTGAGCCCTAGCAAATCATTTTTTGAGGAGACAGGAGGGTGATACCACTTAATCATTTATAAGTCTTTCAAGCTAGCATAGTACATGATACAACTTAGTAATGTACTCTAATGAAGAATGCCAACGAAGTCAGAAATCAGTTAATATGTTTGCATTATAGGGTTTGTTTTTCTCGGAGCCCTGGTTGCACAGTGGTTAAGAACTCCGCTGCTAACCAAAAGCTCTATGGTTCAAATCCACTAGCCGCTCCACGGTAGACAGATACAGCAGTCTGCATCCATGAAGATTAAACCAAAAATCTGCTGCCACGGGGTCCATGCCGACTCACAGCGACCCTACAGGACAGAGTAGAACTGCCCCATGGGGTTTCCCAGGAGAGGCTGGTGGATTTGAACTGCTGACCTTTTGGTTAGCAGCTGAGCTCTTAACCACTGCACCACCAGGGACCCCGTAAAGAATGCAGCCTGGGAAACCCTGTGAGGCAGTTCTACTCTGTCCTGCGGGGTTGCTATGAGTCGGAGTCAACTCCACGGCAGTTGGTTTTTTTTCTTACAGGTCTTTTTGTTCACGCTAAAAAGCAGACCAAAAAGCAGTCACTGTGTACTGTCAGAGCCTAACAATAACTTTGTAGGGCAAGTGGCAAAATTATATTTAAAAAAAAGCAGTTGGATTTGTAAATTTTTTTTTTGTATCAGCTAGTGGTTTAATCTCAGCTACTTCTTCCATCAAATTTCTCTGCTTAAAACTTGTTTCTTGATCAAATGTCAGAATGGAATGTGATTAAATGTTTTCTTTTAGATGTATCTTGAAAGCTGAGCATTCAGAGGGTATCTTGAACGCTCTTATCGTCCAATTGGGTATTGTTGCTGTTGTTAGGTGCCGTCAAGTCGGTTCCGACCCATAACAACCCTATGCACAAAAGAAAGAAACACAGCCCAGTCCTGCGCCATCCTCACAATCACTGCTAGAATTGAGCCCACTGTTGCAGCTACTGTGTATTCTGAGTGCCTTCCAAGCTGAAGGGCTCATCTTCCGGCACTGGATCAGTGTTCCACTGCTATTCGTAAGGTTTTCACTGGTTAATTTTTTCAGTAGACCACTTAGTCCTTCTTCCTAGTCTGTCTCAGTCTGGAAGCTCAGTTGAAACCTGTCTGCCATGGGTGACTTTGCTGATATTTGAATACCAGTGGGCATAGCTTCCAGCATCACAGCAACACGCAAGCCCCCGCAGTACGACAAACTGACAAACACACTGGGGTCCACTTGGATAGGTACATGAATATTTTCAAATCAATAAGCTCCTTACAAAAAAAAAAAAAAAAAAACACCCAAACCCGTTTCCTTCGAGTAGATTCTGACTTACAGCGACACTGTAAGACAGAGTAGAACTGTCCCATAGGGTTTCCAAGGCTGTAATATTTACAGAAGCAGACTACCTACCACATCTTTCTCCCATGGAGTGGCTGGTGGGTTTGAACCGCTGACCTTTCAGTTAGCAGCCGAGTACTTAACCACTGTGCCACGAGGGCTCCTTAATAAGCTCCTTACTTAGTACTAATACCATCTTTACCAATACAAATAACTAATAACATTAAAGAGGAGAATTAATCATGTATATTGCCTGAGCTCCTCACAGCATTATGGAATTTTCTATATGGAAATAATTTTAGGAATAATCTGGTCCAGACTTTCCTAAAATTTGTTACATGAAATTACAGTCCCAGGACATTCTTCAGGGGGAAAAAGGGATTCTATGGTTCAGTGTGCCTGACTGCAAACCTTCTCCTTCCCCTGCCATTCATACAATCCACATTAGAGAATTAGAAAGGCTACAAAATCCTACAATAAAGCCTACAAATTCATTTAATCTACTAATTATGTAACTTCTTTCCCCCCCAAAAAAAACACTTGAGAAGCAGTGATCTAACCCTATCCATTCTCCTGGCAGCCACAATTTACACTAGGGGTTTTCACTTACCAAAAAGCAAAAAATTTTTCCCTGGTATGTTTAAAATGTCATCTATTACACTTTGCCTTCTTCATTACAATTCAAAAAGTAAATGTGGTTATTGAGCCATTCCAACACTAAATGTACATTCATCATTTTAACTCATTGGCATTCTAGAAAACTTGGCTTTTCTGTAAATTTTTAGTGGCTAAAAAAGGACTTTATATAGACAAGCTACTTTATAAAAAATTAGTGCTGATCTTTTTAATATTGCTGAGATATATCAACCACTGCCCCTATTTTTAGTATTAAAAACAGAAGTGATTTTATTGTCTAGTCATCTATCAACAATCATACTGGAACTGTAGCCTAGCTATGTCTTTTTACATCTCAGATACTACCTGTACCCCACAGAATTCTGCAAAATTTAAGATATCTTTGTAAAACTAAATATAAAGAAATCAAATTGGTTTTAGTATTAGTTTTAACTAATCTACACTAAAATATATATAGTAATTATTTGAAAGTAGCTTTAGAAATTATTTGTAGCACTTTAAAGTAAAATCTTAGCACACAAGTATTTATTGATGCCAAAATTAAGCTAATATTTTCTTACCATTAGTTTAATAGTTTCTTTTTAACTGTCATTTACCAAAAATGATAAACCAGCAGCTTTTTAACCACATAGAAAACATCAGTTTTTTACTAATTTTGGTCAAGGCAGACCTAATGGATGGTACCTCAGAAAATCAGTTGCTGTTGAACCAGTTTAATTTCTCTCATTTCTTCATTACTTAAAGATTCATAATTAGCATCTCTCAAATATGTGAGAAAAGAGCTTTATTATTAAAATATTAGAAAAAGAGTGAACCAGCTTTGATTAATTTAAAGAATTACTATAACTATTTTGGTTATTACTATCATTGTAGTCTCTCATCATCCTGTATATTGAAGAAATTAACTTGGGAAAGTTCCTGTTTTCATAGGCTGGTAAGACATCCTAATATTACCATGTCCAAATAAATAAGCCGTAGAGACTATTGATGAACTCTCTGTAGTTACTGAAAAATAAGTAGATTTATTTCTGCTTTTTAAATAAGAAGTGATAAGTAGAAAATAAAATTAGTTTCAGAGACCAATAATTATAAAGTCTTTGGCTGAAATCCAGAACAGTGTCAACAAAATCCCAGAGAAGAACTGTTTACAATTACTGATAAGTAACATCCCTGTTACATGTAGAGAGTGCTTAACTGTGATACTTAGTTCTTCCTATTTAATGTTAAAATACAATTATGTTACAGTTTTCCTAGATTTAAAACAACAAAAACAACTCTAATTTCCACTGGTAATCTCTTCCATTCCTTTGGTTTTAAATACCTCTAATAGTTGATGAATTTCCAGTTCCTATTTCCAGCCCTAATCAATTCTTTAAGTTCCAGGCTTTTATCTACCTTTTAGCATTCTACCACAGACGTCTAATACCAAAAAAAAAAACAAAAAACAAACCCATGTCCATTGAGTCAATTCCAACTCACAGCGACCCTATAGGACAGAGTAGAACTGCCCCATAGGGTTTCTAAGGAGCGGCTGGTGGATTCAAAGTTACCACTGTGCCACCACGATGTCTAATAGGCATCTGAAATTTAACATGCCCGAAACAAAATTCTTGAATTTCTTCTCCAAACCTGTTCTACCCCAAATCTTCTCTATTTTAATTAAAGGACTCATCCAGGTGGTCAGGCCAAAAAGCTAGGAATTACACATAATTTCTTCACTCTGCAACATCCACTAAATTCTATTCTCCACATAGCAACTACGGCAATATTTTAACAAAATCACTGCTATCAGCTTAAAACAGTCCAGCCGAAACTACTTATCTGGGCCCCTATCAACCTCTTTGACCCCTTCCACCACTTTCCCCCTCAATCACCTCACTGCAACCAAACTATCATTTTCTTTCCTCCAAGACCTTTATAGATGCTCTTCCCTCTCCCTAGAACATTCTTCCTCTAGCTCTTCACATGGTTCTTCCCACCTCATTCAGACCATGGCTCAAAGGTTACCACCTCAGAGAGACCTGACTAAATCTAACCCCTATCATTATCTATCCTCTAACTCTGCTCCATTTTCCTTCATATCACTTATCACTATGAGACATTACACGAGCTTTCTATCTCCATTACTAGAATATAAGGTATATGAATAGTTTATCCTGTTCACAATTGTATCCCCAGTCCAAAATGGTGCTGGCACACAGCAGGCACTCATGTTTGTGAAAAGAAATGGTGAGAGAATGTAATAAAAGTGGGCAAAGAAATTATTGTCTATTTGAGGGGCAGCAGATTAATGTTGTCATCCTTAAATCATCACAGTTCAAAAGAAGGGTAGTAGGAGGTTCTAACCTACAAATTAAGACTACAGAATTATAAAGATGTAATCAGAAGAAAGCAGGACATCTAAAGAAACCAAGTTGATTCCACAAGGAAATCTGTACTAGAGATATTAAAAGTACCCAAATGCTGACAGTTTCAAATTATGGGTTTAAGTCCAAATATAAAAGTACTAACTAACCAGTTGCCATCGAGTTGATTTCGACTCATGGTAACCTCCCATACAACAGAACGAAATGTCCAGTTGTGTGCCATCTTCACGACTGTTGGTATGATTGAGTTCATTGTCGTAGCCACTGTATACTTTGAGTGCCTGCCAACCTCAAAGCTCATCTTCCAGCCACTATGTCAGACAGTATCTGTTGTGATCCATAGGATCTTCATTGGCCAGTTTTCGGAAGCAGATCATCAGGCCTTTCTTCCTAGTCTGTCATAAGTCTAGAAGCTCCGCTGAAACCTGTCCACCATGAATGACCTTGCTGGTATTTGAAATGCCGGTGGCATAGCTTGCAGCATCAGAGCAACACGCAAGCCACCACAATGACAAACAGCTGGTGGACACTTGTAATAACGCAGCCTAATTACATCAATTGTCATTTCGGATACGTTACACAATTTAATTTATAGTCCGTGAAAATGTCCAGATCTTTTCATCTTATCTTCTGTTCTGCCAGGTTGCTCCTATCATGTAGTTGTATTAATTGCTTTTGTTTTAATTATAACTTGAGCAACTTTTACCAAACCCTAATTCCAGATCTAAGCATTCACATATCTCCAAATTATCTCTCATGGAAGTAAATGTCCGTGTAGTCTTAAATAGTTGTAATCCCTTTGTATGTATTTTTTCCTGCTAAGTCATATAAAATTTTCCTTCTCTCAACATACTTCTAGGTTTAAATGGCTATATAATATTCCAATGGGTCAAAAATCTACAGTGTGTTTTTTATGCCCCTATTTATGTATATTTTTCCTAATTTTTGCTATAAATAACTATTCTCTGATGTTAAATTACTAGTTCAGAGGGCATAGGTGGTTCTGTAATTTGTGCTCTAGAAATTCATCCATTCTTTTGGCAGACTAATAATCCAAGCTAATGAGAAAATGAGGTCAATTCAGGATAACTGAAATTTAGTAAATGCAAGCTGGCCCCTATTGACTACTTGTCGTAGAAACATATACTTCTTCCAGCACCCAGAGCCTAGAGAATTCAATTGGCTTAAAGAAGTTGGCATCCTGTTCCTAGTTACTCTCTTGGGCTACACTTGCTTTCTGGGGAGGTAGAACATTTCCATTGAGAAGATCATTCTCTTTACAGAGGTGAATGAAGTGGAACCTCTTGTCACTTGTTAACGTAACAATAGTTCTTAGACAGTGGTCCTATCCCTTACTTACTCTTCCTCCAAGTGTAGGCCCCCCAAAAAGTCCACAATATTTTCACAAACTTTCAGCTCATTTTTAGGCCCTCAGAGAGTTTTTAAGTAACTTCATGCTACTCTAATAGTTAACGCCCTCGGCTGCTAACTGAAAAGCCGTACATTCAATTCCACTCAGAGGCACCTTGGAAGACAGGCCTGGCAGTTTACTTCTGAAAAATTGGCCATTTAAAACCCTATGGAGCCCAGTTTTACTCTGACACATGGAGTCACTGTAAGTCAGAACTGACTCCATGGCAGCTGGTGGTTTTTAGGGTCGGAAACAAAATAAGCAATACCACAATGCTCTGCACTGCTCAGTTCATATTAACTGTAATTAGTTTAAGTATCACATTGAGAAATTCACTAGCCAACTAAAAAGCCTGTAGAGGAGGGAGACCAGAACTATGTCATATAAGGAAAAACACTGAAAGACCTATTGATATTCAAGCTGAAGAAGATATGGGAAGACAAGATAGCTGTTTCAGCTAACTGAAGAGCTGTCATTTGGAAGAGGCATTAAAATTACCTTCTGTTCAAAGGTCAGAGCTGGACCATTAGGTGGAAATTAAAGGAGACAGACTTTGGGTCAATCTTCTAACAGTATAAACTTAAACAATGGAATTGATTTCTACGTGTAGTCCATTTCCCTTCTCCACAAATATTTAAGCAGATAGATGATCATCTGATAAGATTTTAGAAACAAAAATTTTTCTTTAGGTTTTTTTTATAATGGCTCTTTCCAACTCCTATAAACCTGGGGTATACAATTTTTGAAATTAAATATTACATGAAAGACTAATTTAGGTTAGCCCATTAAAATTTATTACATATAAATAAAAGCATACCTTGGCCCAGGTTTTGGAATTTTGCCAGCTTTGAGCTCATCAATAATTTCTTCAATATCCTTAGGTGTCAGATCCTCCTAGAAAACAGAAATTACAATAGTCATATTAAAATTACTTCCTACTGCTAGAATATGTATAAGCCCCTGACACCAGTTAGTTTACTGTGTCTGTCCCTCTTAGATCACAAGACAGTTACCAAGGTAGCAACAAGTATGAATGAATACTTGGTTTATAACATATACTGCTAAAGGCAACAGGCAGTAAGAGCTGTCGGTGAAGAGGCAACGCAGAGCAGTACTCTGAGGAAAAGAGGTCTGTGTTTGAGTCCTGGCTCTACCGCATAATAAAGAATCATCTTGGCCGTGTTACTCAGCCTCCCTAACTTTGTTTCTTCGTTTATAAACCTACCTCAGTGCTTCTGAGAATTAAATGAGAAAATATATAAAGTAGAACAGTGCAAAAGCACGTGCTCAGTAAATGTTATATTCTTGAAGAAACACGAGACACAAATAGTGCCAGTACTAGTAGTACAGCAGTGGCAGTAACTTAGAAGCAGATGCCTAATATCTATCCCGAACCTAAAGTTCTAACACCCTTGATTTTCTTTAATGATCCCGAACCTCCAATCCTACTCCCTCTATTTCAACCAGAGCAGCTCTATATTTTGTATACCGTGCAACATTTTATTTCAAGAAAGAGTTCTATTACTTAAAATAAAAAAATACCATTAAAGCACCTGTGAACATGCGTGCACAGACACACATACATACACACACACACAAGCCTACCTGCAGTCTGGGTTTAATCAAAAGGGGAACAGTCAAAACACAATGAGCGAGATGAAACTAAGAGAAAAATCACAGCCACACAACATCTTAACCCCTCCTCCCCCATCCACAACTGTTAAATATTTAATAAATTTTTCATTGGAAGGCCCTGAACAATTGCTCCTGGTACTAACTATGCTAGAGAAATCACAATTCAATACTGTATTACAAGTGCCTAGAACTGTGCTTAGCACATACAAGGCTATTAATATATGCTGAATGATTAAACAGTTATAGAAGTAAGAAGCTCTATTTAAACCACTTAGGTTTCAATGAGATGCTTAGAACCTAACAGCTAGAAAGAATCCTTAAGTTCATCTCATGATCTCATCCCCCCACACATAAGTTTTTATTATGAAAATTTTAAAACTACATGAATACCTGTATCTCTGTCACCTGGGTCCAATAATTTTTTAATTTTACTATATTTGCATTTGTACTTTTTTTTTTTGCTGTACAATCTGAAAGCAAGTTGCAGACGTCATGACACTTCGCTATTATTTCAGCAGGCATCGCCTAGTCAGAATATTCTCTTAAATAACCACAATGCCATCACCACACCTAAGAAAACTAACTAGCTCCTTAACACCGTCCATGCCAAGTCCAAGTCCGTATTCAAGTCTTCCCAACCATTCAAAATGGATCTGATAGCTATTTTTTTCTAAGCAGGATCCAATCAAAGTACAGTAAAACCTGAGAAAGCCAGAACCTGCGTAAGGCAGACACCTGTCAGAGAAGGTAAACGCACATATTTTCCACTAACAGAGTGATAGAAAAGTGGTAAGACTGCACCCTGTCAAAGGCAGAAAGCTTGCAAGACCCGGAAAAGCAAGGCAGTCCTGTCAAGTTCCAGCTCTCAAAGCTATCACGGTATACGTAACTGTCTCATTTTCTCTACTGATAAACTAAGCTCCATAAAGTTAACTGTCTTGCCCAAGATCATACTGCTATTAACTGGAAGAACCTCTATCTCTTAGACAAATAAATACACGACTACATTCAGTAGATTTACAGTGCTTCACACAAAGTCTTTACTAATTCCCGTTAAAATATGAGTAAACTGCCCAAGTGTGAGAAAAGGGAAAAGTTGCTGCCATATCTTTAAAGGGTTTTTTTGGTTTGTTAAGTACGGGAAATAAAAGAGAGATGTTAAGAAGTTTGAATCATTCGTTATGAAAATGAAGAAAATCACTCTAGGGAATGAAACCAAAACCAAACCAAACCCGTTGCTGATGAGTCGATTTTCCAACTCATAGCGACCTTATAGGGCAGAGCAGAACTGCCCCAAAGGGTTTCCAAGGAGCAGCTGGTGGATTCGAACTGCCGACCTTTTGGTTAGCAGCCGAGCTCTTAACCACTATGCCACCAGGGCTCCAAAGCACCCTAGACACAAAAAGTTCAAAGAAATCAAATTTCATCTTCATTTAAAAAAAAAAATAACAGATTTCCATTTCAGGCATTAAGACAGACTGGCTATCCTGATTGAAAACCTCCTGTTGTAACAACTAAAAATACCAGATTAAAAAAAAGGCCTTTAAAAATTCATCAGTAAGCTACAAGAAAGTCAGAAACAGCCAGGGACCAAAAACTCAATGAAAACCCAGAGACATAAGTGAAACATCAAGTAAACTTGATGTGATGCCAAATGTTGTTGTCAGGTGCCATCGAGTCAGTTCCAACTCATAGCGACCCTTCATGCAACAGAACAAAACACTGCCCGGTCCTGCATCCTCACAATTGTGGTTATGTTTGAACCCATTGTTGCAGCCACTGTGTCCATCCATCTTGTTGCGGGTCTTCCTCGTTTTCACTGACCCTGTATCAAGTATGATGTCCTTCTCCAAGGACTGGTCCCTTCTGATAACATGTCCAAAGTACGTGAGACGAAGTCTCACTAAGGAGCACTCTGGCTGTGTTACTTCCAAGACAGACTTGTTTGTTCTTCTCGCAGTCCATGGTATATTCAGTCTTCTTCACCAACACCATTAACTCAAAAGCATCAGTTCTTCTTCGGTCTTCCTTATTCATTGTCTAGCTTTCACATGCATATGAGGTAATTGAAAACACCATGGCTTTGGTCAAGCGCACCTTAGTCCTCAGAGTAACATCTTTTGCTTTTTAACACTTTAAAGAGGTCTTTTGCAGCAGATCTGCCCAATGCAATGCATCTTTTGATTTCTTGACTGCTGCTTCCATGGGTGTTGACTGTGGATCCAAGTAAAATGAAATCCTTGACAATTGCAATCTTTTCTCCATTTATCATGATGTTATTTATTGGTCCAGTTGTGAAGATTTTTGTTTTCTTTAAGTTGAGGTGTAATCCACACTGAAGGCTGCAGTCTTTGATCTTCATCAGTAAGTGCTTCAAGTCCTCTTCACTTTGAGGAAGAAAGATTGTGTCATCTGCATATCGCAAGCTGTTAATGAGTCTTCCTCCAATCCTGATGCCCCATTCTTCTTCACACAGTCGAGCTTATCAGTTTATTTGCTCAGCATACAGATTGAGTAACTATGATGAAAGGATACAACCCTGACCCATACCTTTCCTCATTTTAAACCACGCAGTATCCCCTTGTTTTGTTCAAACGATTGTCTTGGTCTATGTACAGGTTCCACATGAGCACAATTAAGTGTTCTGGAATTCCCATTCTTCACAATGTTATCCACGATTTGTTATGATCCACACAGTCAAATGCCTTTGAATAGTAAATAAAACACAGGTAAACATCTTTCTAGTATTCTCTGCTTTCAGCCAAGATCCATGTGACATCAGCAATGATATCCCCTGTTCACATCTTCTTCTGAATCTGGCTTGAATTTCTGGCAGTTCCCTGTCGATATACTGCTGGCAGCTGCTTCTGAATGATCGTCAGCAAAATTTTACTTGAGTGTGGTATTAATGATATTGTTTGATAATTTCTACATTCTGACGCCAGCTACAAAAGGGTAGTAATGGTAATAACAGTCTCAAAGCTTGCCTAACTTCAGGGAGGATAATGCGAATCAAGATGAGCCCAAGGCTGATCCCTAGGAGGTGGAGGTCAGACATACCTCCACTCTCCAACCTTTTTACCAATTCTGACACCAGCCATCCCTCCCACAGCCCTCTCTACTTCTCTTCTGGGTTCAATAACCCATTGCAGTGGCCACACAGACCTCATAGACCATACTTACAGATAAATGGTTTATTAAGGAAGTGACAGGGTACAACTCAGGATCAGGAAGCATGTAGGCATAGTCTCCCTTGTTCAGTGAAGGGCAGCTCTCTCACCTCCTCTCGGCTGGGCAGGCCTCCTCTCAGCCCCTTGAGGACAGGCCTACTCTCGGGCCCCTAAAGACAGGCCTCCTCTTGGGCCCTTCAGGATAGGCTCCTTTCAGCCCCCCTCAGGAAAGCCTCCTCCCAGGCCCTCAGGACAGGTTCCTTTCGGCCCCTTCAGGACAGGATTCTCTTGGCCCTGCTGTCTGTCACCACTCCCTCTGCCGCAGGGCCCATTCTGGACCTGCTGCCACCAGCTCTGCCACTGAACCCCTTCTGGACCTGTTGCCAGTGTTACAACCCTTGACCCATGTTACAGATCTTTGAGGATGTCCCTTGACTCCTTTCTCTCTGCTGCTTTTCTCTTGCCTTTTCTCCTTTCTGCTTCTTCCTGCTTCCTGTCTTCTTCTGTCTGAAATCTCTGTGGGGTTGGCTGCTTACATCTACAACTCCTTGACAATTTCAAGGCATGGCCCTCACAGTAGGGCCATGAACTGACCAATCCCCTCTTGGCAGGCCACAGACACTTCATTTGCATAGTCTATTGACCAATCCCTACAAGGTGCCTATCAATCACAGGGCAGGCTGCAGCCCAGGGCCAAGCAAAAAAGTATCAAACCATCCTTGTTTACAGCTTACCCAGGAAATGGCCATCAACCTGAACAAAACAAACCCTCTAAGGTAGAAAACTAGGACAAAGGTAACTCAAGGCTTAGAGGAACATTCTCTCAAGCTGTTTTTCCAAAGAACCGAGGCAAAAGGCCACATAAAGGAACTCGTTTCAACACACCAGGGCTCAGGGTCTCATGGCCAGCCTAGAATGGCAGGGGGTAAAGCCCCAGGCCAGCCCAAGAGAGTCTAACAAAAGACCATCCAAATAACACGAAGTTAAGACCCAAAAAGCTACACCCTCCATATAAGGGTGAACTAGAAATAAACTGTTCCTCAAAGAAAACTGCTCATCTGGAACCTTGAGCATGTGGGGGTAGCGATAAGGAGAAGGGTTTTCTTTTGAGAACTCCCCAGGACTGTCTAATAAACTTCTAGCATAGAATTTAATTTAAAGTGATCCTGGGCTAGTAGTACTTCCAGGAACAAGAAACAAACAAAGCAAATCCCTTCTTAAAGAATCTACCCTCCACACAGGCCTCAAAGAATTTCCATAAACAAAATTCTAAGAAATATGAGTTAGAAAGGGATATAGATTGAAAACCATGATATAATTAGGGTAGCAAGCAACTTAAAAAAAAAAAAAACTGGAAAACTCTTTACACTTGGATACTAAGAACACTTCTAAAAAAAATTCACAAGTCACAGAAGAAATCAAAATACAAATTAAAAAATATTTAGAAACTAAATAATAAAAATATTACTTATCAAAACTTGTGAGATCTGGGTAAAACTACTTAAGAGAGTGGCATGATACCATCTCTGCAATATAATATATAGCAGTATGGTTGCATATATGTCAGAAAAAGTTTAAATACATGTACGGGAATCGTATACACTAAATTTAGATAGTGGTTATCTCTGGGGAGGAAAGGAAGGGAATGCAATTTTGAGTGAAGTTAGGAGGGCTTCATCTGTGTCTTGTAGCTTATTTCTAAATAATAATATCTGAAGTAAATGTGCCAAAATGTTCATGCCTGGAAGTCTTGGTGGTTGGTATACCAGGGTTATTTTCTGTATCTGTATGTAAATTATTAAATTTTTCATAATTTAAAAGTTTTAAAAAATTATCATTTCCTGGAGTTAAATGCAAAAAATATTAAAGGATAGTAATTTTTTTAAAACTTCTGGATATTTATCCTAATTGTTTCTTCTAAATGAGTAACTAAAAACAACCTATATAGGATAGGGACCCAAATATCTTAAAAAATTTTTTTAAAAGACATCACACAACTTTAATTTATATTAAGTGAAATACTCACATAGTAGTTGTCATTTATTTGAACCATTGGTGCGTTTACACAGGCACCTAAACATTCCACCTCTATAAGAGTGAAAAGTTTGTCAGGTGTAGTCTCCCCAGCCTTTATTCCTAAAAATATAAATGATCACTGTAAGGACCAAGTTGTATTTTAATAGTGATTTTAAGGAAAAAAAAAAACAGAAAACAATGAACGTATTACAGACATATATAAAAAGTGTTTAAGAAATTAAATTTTTAAAAAACTATAATTATACTGTAACATAATGTTAGACATATTACATTAGTATATTTAATAGTTACAAAGAAAGTCAATTAAAATGACATGAAATCTAAAACAAATATACCCAACTATTATCAGAATTTATATCTTGTGGAGGGTAGGGGATTTTAAGCAGACTTTAGCTGTTTTATATACTTCCATACTGCCTAACTATTTTTACCACATGCAAGTATGTTATATCCAACAACCACAAAATTAAAAGATACCTCCTCCTTTTACTTCACTTAACATAGTTATAAATGCAGTAATCGCCATTTTGTATGGAAAAAAATGCCATTTTATTTTACAAATGCTACTATAATAACATCTATTTCCTATTTCCCTCACTGAAGCATTCTTACTACACGCTTACTTGTTCCATGGCTCCTTTGGAAGGAAACACATACAAGATATAGCCAGTTTTTTATGTACCACGTGTTATTATGTAAGAAGTCAAACTTAATTTTCTAAACAATGAAACTTTTAAAACTAGAAACTTTTCAAACATACTTAATGATTGGGAAAGAAAAGGTGAAAACTCAGTTTTGAGGCTGAGAACTAAGGATGAACATAAAAACAGGAAGAAATAAAGTGGGCAAACACCAAAACCCACTGCCATCGAGTCGCTTCCGACTCCTAGCAAAACACAGGAAGACAAAAACGTACTGGGAAAGTACAGATCCAATAAAATGGTAGAGTTGGAAAATTTAGGTAGAAACAGGTCAACTCTAGAAAAGATAATTCTGTTTTTCCTAAAAGTTACAAATGTAATGTATCCCATACCAAGCTTTCTCTGAATGGCCTCCAATATGCTGTCAGAATCTCGAAGCATGCAAGGTGTGGTCGTGCAGACCTGAATGTGATACTTTCCAACTGGCTTCCGATTATACATTGTATAAAAAGTTGCTACTTCATATACTCTCATTGGAGGTACTTGTAAAATTTCTGCAACCTGAAACATTCCGGAAAATTTTAAATTATATAATTACAATGTTTATTAAATGAGCCTTAGGTGTGTCTTAAAATATGTAATTTTAATATTCTATCAGTTTTCTTTAAAAGCAGAGTACGTACCTGTATCAGACAGCTGTGAGTTAGAAGCAAGCCCTTCAATTTTTGCAGACACCTTACAGTTAAACCACACAGAGCCCGAGGCGAACGCTACAGCACTTCCTCCTCCCTTTACCCCACTGCTCGCCTCACAAAGGCTATTCTTTTTCTCTAAATCTTTAAATCTTGCACTATTAAGAATTTCTGCTTACATCATTTCAACTTTTATATTTCATAATTTAAATTTTCCAAATGGCAAAAATTTTGTGGCCAAACCCCAATACATGAAACAATTACATTTTTTAAACCATTCACCGATTTTCTTCAAAAAACTCTTGATGTTACTGGTGGTGTATACAGCAAACAAATGGTATGGAGACAGAAAAAAGGTTGAGAATCAAAGCTTACCTGTTCATCTATATTTTTTTATACATCCATCTACATTTAGATATGTAAACATAAAATTTTATATCTCTGCCTACAGACACACAGACATGCGCATGCCGTGCATGCGCGCGCGCACACACACACACACGCAAGCTCTCCAGAATAATCAAAACACTACTTCAATTTCATACTGCAATATTCTTTACAAAAGCTGGATCTTAGAGTCTAGTACTTCCCACCTCTTCACATCAAGGCATTTATTGAAAATACTTGTTTTGACATACTGGAGTTAAGGACCAAGGGAATCGCTATCTCAGCATACCTCTCTTGCTCAGGGTAAGTCAGCTGTGGGAAACAAGGATTTTAACTGTCTGCTACAGCTGGTCTACATACAGTCAATCATCACTATGATCCTGGCTACAACTTTCTAGGTGATCTATTATCATTTATCAGATTTTAAGATTTCATATCTAGCATTCCTAAAAATGATACATTTATCTATGTCTTAACATGACATAAGAGCTCATTAAATGGCATTTGAGATGATAAATATGCTGAACTTCCTCATATCAGGAATTCCAAAGGAAATATATTCCTAAAAGGTATCGAATCTTTGCCCATTTGTGAAACATAAGTAACTGTACTATTTAATTCAGTGATCCAAACTCGGCAGGTACCCCTGAATCTAGGGAGCTCTCAAAATAAACATGTTGGAGCCCTACCATTGAAGATTTTAATTTCTGTATCTGATATGATCATGTGATTTTTCTTTTTTCTCCTGTTAATATGGTAGGTTACATTGATTACTTTTTGAACAATGAACTAGTGTTAAACCCATTGCTATAGAGTCGATTTCAATTCATGATGACCCCATGTGTGTCATAGTAGTACTGCACTCCACAGGGTTTTGAATGGCTGTAGTCTTACAGTAGATTGCCAGGACTTTCTTCCATGGCACCACTATGTGGATTCAAACTGCCAGCCTTTCAGTTAGTAGCCAAGTGCAAGTCATTTGCACCACCCAGGGGCCCTGGCGATCATAACTGAATAAATCTGGAGTGAGGCCCTGATGTTTAACTTGAAAAAGTTCCCATAGGATTCTGCCACACACGCCTGAGTGATGGTTACTGAACTAACACATGAGCTTCTGGAGTTTGTTTTTGTTGTACAGTTGGGCTTTGGGGGAGACCAACAAGCAGTAACATGAAAATAAAGTCCCAAATGTAAAGCAGAAAGACCGATTATATTTTCTGTTTCTCTCCTCTCCTCCACACATATCCAATTCTAGAACAGAACAGTATTTCTGAAATGTTCTCACCTTAGTTTCTTATTTATTTTTTTCTGCTAAGCCTACCCCTCAGCAAGACTTCCAACAGGCCTGTCATTATTAAAATTGTGAATTAAAAAAAAACCATACCTATGATTAAGAACATATGCCTAAGTATTATTTAGAAAGTTGGCTATTGTAATATTAAAAAAAAAAAACATAATTTAGAAAACTCCCAAGAAACATGCCATTTACTGAAAACAAAATAACCACCTGTCTCTGCTTACTATGTATATTCTGGTTTTGGTGATGTTGATTCAGACTCATGGTGCCCCTGTGTGCTCCACAGGGTTTTCAAAGCTGTGACCTTTCAGAACCAGATCACCAGACCTTCCAAAGCAACCCTGGATGGGTTTGACCACCAACCTCTTAGTTAGCAGTTGAGCACTTAACCATTGTGCTACCGAGGGACTCCTACTAAGTATATACTGTAGTACCTCACTACTAAGCTTGCTTTATAATGTTTTTCATAGCCAAGAAGATGCTAAGGGCCCACGATAAGAGATCAATGAACTAAATCTGAAATTGCATTTGGGATTCCATTAGAGAAAAAAATGACAACACTTCTATTCTCCAAGAAAAGTGCCAATCATCTAGCTTAATTAAAAAAAAAAAAAAAAAAATTTAAAAAAACCCATGGCTGTCGAGTTGATGCTGACTCATAGCCACCCTATAGGACAGAGTAGAACTGACCTATAGGGTTTCCAAAGCTGTTATCTTTCCCGAAGCCAACTGCCACATCTTTCTCCCGCTCTCTAGCTTAATAGTTACAACAAAATAAAGTTCAGAAAGGGATAAGAAGAATGAAGTATAACAGAATCCCAATGGTAGTCAAGTAGAAAATGCACTGAATTGGAAGTCAGACGACCTGGATACAGTCCCAACTCTTGCTCACTTAGAAATCATAACTTAGTAATTGAAGAGTCCTACCTAGTTCAGAACCTTCATTCTGCAGGTGAGGAAATAAGTCCAGAGCGTTTAAGACCCTCAGTCACAAAACTAGTGTGCGGCATGACCGAGACTAAATTTCAGGTCTCTTAGCGCTAAGTCAAATATGTTTTCCATTATATCATGCTCGCTTATCAGTTGTGTGGTTCTGGTAAGAATCAAAAAATGTGATTTTGTATGGCACTTTGTAACTATAAACTGTAATATAAATTTATTATAGTAAAACCTACAAAAGCCAGAACCTATGTAAGGCAAAAACCTGTCAGAGAAGGAAATCAGATATTTTCCAGTAAAGTGTGCAGTAGAAAAGCGGTAAGACTTGCACCCTGTCAAAGGTGGGAAACCTGAAAGACCCGGAAAAACAAGGCAATCTCGTGAAATCCCGGCTCACACAGGTTCACTGTATATTACTAGGATGTGAATAAAGCTGAAATGTAGACTGTTGATAAAAACACTGTTAGAAAAAAATGAGTCTTAAAATATATCTAAATAGACTAACTTCATATAAAACGGGTCACCCATTGCAGGGTGTAGGCTGATGATTCCAAGCTGTCATAATCAAGTAGCTTAAATAACATATATTGATGGATTTTTATTAAAGCCTATGGCTAAAGACTTAATATACTAAAAAGATTCATGTACTTTGTAAATGATTTATGAAATTTCAAATATTCAGAAAGTGACATTTTCTATTTTTATCTCTTTTTATATTTAGAGTACTTAAGCTCTTTTCTCCTCTCTCTGAATTCCTCTGGAGCCCTGGCGGCACCAGGGTTAAGAGATATGGCTGCTAACCGAAAGGTCAGCAGTTCAAATCTACCAGTCGCTCCTTGGAAACCACATGGGGCAGTTTTACTCTATCCTATAGGGTCGCTATGAGTCAAAATTGACTAGACGGCAACGGATTTGGTTTGGTTTTGGTTTCTGAATGCCTTTACATTTTCTGTTCTCAGCAAACCTTTGGTTTTTCTTCAGGTCTCTACCCATCACTCTCTCATTTTCTGCAAAGCCTTCCTTAACAATGATCTTGCCCCTCAGGTAGGCATAACCTACCCCCCTAAAGCTCTTTTTATACATCTCTATACAGGCAGACCTCATTTTATTAGGCTTCGCACATCGCAGATACCGCTTTTTTTTTTTTTAACAAATTGAAGGTTTGTGGCAACCCTCCATCAATCAAGTCCATTGGTGCCATTTTCCCAACAGCATGTGCTCACTTTGTGTCTCTGTGTCACGTTTTGATAATTCTTCCAATATTTCAAACTTTTTCCTTATTTTTATATCTGTTATAGTGATCTGTGATCAGTGATCTTACTACTGTAATTGTATTGAGGTGCCACGAACCATGCCCATATAAGACAGCGAACTTAATCAATCCATGTGTGTGTTCTGACTGCTCTACCAACCAACTGTTCGTTCCCCCATCTCTCTCCCTCTCCTTGGGCCTCCCTATTCCCTGAGATTCGACAATATTGAAATTAGGTCAGTTAATAACCCTCCAGTGGTGTCTAAGTGTTCAAGTGAAATGAAGAGTCCCACGTCTCTCACTTTAAATCAAAAGCTAAAAAAGATTAAGCTTAGTGAGGAAGGCATGTCGAAAGCTGAGATAGGCTGCAAGTTAGGCCTGTTGTGCCAAACAGTTAGCCAAGTTTGAGGGCAAAGGAAAAGTTCTTGAAGGAAATTGTAAGTGCTACTCCAGTGAACACACGAATGATAAGAAAGCGATATGCTGACAGGGAGAAAGCTTTAGTGGTCTAGACAGAAGATCAAAACAGCCACAACATTCCCTTAAACCAAATCCTAATCCAGAACAAGGCCCTGACTTTCTTCAGTTCTATGAAGGAGAGAGGTAAGGAAGCTGCAGAAAAAAAGTTAAAAGCTAGTAGAGGTTGGTTCATGAGGATTAACGAAAGAAGCCATCTCCATAACATAAAAGTGTAAGAGGAAGTAGCAAGTGCTGATGTAGAAGCTGCAGCAAGTTATCCAGATCTAGCTAAGATAACGGATGAAGGTGGCTGCACTAAACAACAGATCTTCAGTGTGGATGAAACAGCCTTGTACTGGAAGCAGATGCCATCTAGGACTTTCATAGCTACAGAGGAGAAGTCAATGCCTGGCTTCAAAGCTTCAAAGAACAGGCTGACTCTCTTGTTAGGGACTAATGCAGCTGGTGACTTTAAGTTGAAGCCAATGCTCATTTACCATTTTTCGCAAGACTATAGCTGCCATAGATAGTAATTCCTCTGATGGATCTGGGCAAAGTAAACTGAAAAACTTCTGGAAAGGATTCACCATTCTAGATGCCATTAAGAACACCTGTGATTCAAAATATCAACATTAACAGGAATTTGGAATAAGTTGATTCCAACCCTCATGGATGACTTTGAGGGGTTCAAGAGTTCCATGGAGGAAGAAACTGCAGATGTGGTGGAAACAGCCAGAGAACTAGAAGTGAAGCCTGAAAACGTGGCTGAATTGCTGCAATCTCATGATACAACTTTAATGGATGAGGAGTTGCTTCTTATGGATGAGCAAAGAAAGTGGTTTCTTGAGATGAATCTACTGGTGAAGATGCTGTGAACGTTGTTGAAGTGACAACAAAGGATTTAGGACATTACACAAACTTAGCTGATAAAGCAGCAGCAGGGGTTGAGAGGACTGACTCCAATTCTGAAAGAAGTTCTACTGTGGGTAAAATGCTATCAAACAGCATCGCATGCTGCAGAGAAATCTTAAGTGAAAGGAACAGTCAATCGATGAGGCGAACTTCACTGTTGTCTTACTTTAAGAAACTGCCACAGCCACCCCAGCCTTCATCAGCCACCGCCCTGATCAGTCAGCAGCCATCAACACTGAGGCGAGACCCTCCACCAGCAAAAAGATCACGACTCGCTGAAGGCTCAGATGATGGTTAGCAATTTTTAACAATAAAGTATCTTTGAATTAAGGTATGTGCATTGTTTTTTAAGACATAATGCTATCGCACACTTAACAGACTACAGGATAGTGTAAACATAACTTTTATATGCACTGGGAAACCAAAAACTTCATATGACTCACTCGATTGCAAAATTCGCTTTATTGCAGTCGTCTGAAACCGAACCCACAGTATCTCTGAGATATGTCTGTATAGGGTTGCTATGAATTGGAATCAACTTGATGGCAATGGGTTGTTTGGTTTTTTATCAGCATTTACCTTACTAGTTGAAATTAACATATGTTTATATCTATCTCCCACTAGCCTAAGTAGACTTTTTCTTTGTAATTCTAGTGTTTAAATATTGCATTTTCAGAATAACTTGATGCCAAATTATACACATTTGTGAACTTTCTGAACTTTTATAATTATTATGACCATTTACCTTAAAAAAGAAAAAAGAAAAACAAACAAAAAAACCCTCTTTCACCATAAAGTGACTGTGTTAGTACTTTCTGCAAGGATAAAAAGGTCTACCTTTTCAGTTCTCTGCATTACTAAGGGAATCAACAAAAACACACGTGATTCTTCTATAAGGAAACATATGAATGATTAAAGGGCTTCAAACACCTAGATTCTGACATTAATGATTCATAAGAGGAATTTCCACATAAGGAAATCATCATGTAAAGTCTCTCCTCTTTTTGAACTAAGGCAAAAATTAATTCGATACCTTATTCATAGCAGAGATGGGCAACCATCCATTCTGTCTCTGTGCTAAATCCAAGACTGGAAGCACAGCTGCTGCTTTATGCCCTTCTGGATAGTTCTTTACAATTGCCTCTATCCTCTATAATTAAAAAAAAAAAGCATCCGTTTTATACACCTGGAAGATACTAAATATTTTATAGATTAATTATAATTTTAACTTAATATCATACCTTATAGTTTTCTGGTGTAAAATCAAATGGAGTATCTGGATTATTCTCAGGAGTATCTCTGTGCTACACAAAGAAAACAAATTTTTCGAATTTATCTCAAAAGTGTGAATAACTTCTGTACATTGCTATACTACTACTGATTGTTAACATCTTCACTTTAATTCCAACATGAAACATAATAATCTATTCTTCCATTACAAACAGAAGGTAAACTAATGACTAAATACACATTTGATGACTATATGGAAGTGGGATAAGACCAAATTAACTTTAGCAGATTTCAAAATTTTAGAAAAGCTTTAGAAAGCATCATTTAAAAGTTAAGAAAAATAGCTGTAGAAACTAAAAAACAAGACAAAAAAAAGTGTTATTCAACTTGAATACAGTTTTCTAATGTAATTACTCAAACACTATCAATTATTAGAGGCCTAATAATCAGAAACTAGCCAACAGCAAGAAGCTTTATTTCTCCTCCTTAAAAGAGCAGAGCAGGTCCTCTTCAAAATCTGACAAGAAATTGCATGTCAAGAGAAAATCAAATGAGTCACAGAGATTACATCTATTAATGCTTTGTATGTGTACTGAATACAGAACTGAATTCTCGATTTGTTAACTCTCAAAAGTTCTGCTTTTTCAAGTACATAAACCAAAGAAAAAAGAAAAGGGAAACTTTGGGCAATGATCTCAAATATGTGGCCAATATGATATGTTTTCAGACAAAAATGATAAAACATAAAACAGACGTCTACTTCTCAATAGTATGAACCCCAACTCATTCCTTCAGATTAGGTTGAAAATAATTCAGTTTACAAAACTATCCCACTGACTCTATATCATCATACAAATCCACTAAATTGCCTTTAAACTACACTAGATTAATCCCTGAAAACTGCAGTTTGTCAAAAAGAGAATACATTATCTTATCCTTCCTGGATATAAATGGAGCCCTAGTAGCGAAGTGGTTAAGAGCTCGGCTGCTAACCAAAAAGTCAGCAGTTCAAATCCACCAGCCGCTCCTTGGAAACCCTATAGGACAGTTCTGCTCTGTCCTGTAAGGTCACTGTCTCAACGGCAATGGGTTTGGTTTTTCTTTTTTTGGATATAAATAGAAAGAAAAGAAAAAGAAGGACTATTTACAACACTGTGTTTTTTGAGACTTGTTCAATTAAGCTGAGTTGCTCACTGACCTCTCGACCTGTAATTAAACCATGGAAAAGAAAACATAAGTCCAACTGCTAATGTTTTCACTGTATCCTAAAATCCATGAATTTCAAATTAGTGCCATTTTGCAGTCCCCAAATCGCAGCCTCAGAATCTTCAGTGACCCAACATGACTGATTTTTAAGAACCCAAAGTATGACTAGAAATCAGGTTAGGGTTCACAGTAATTTCACCAAAGAACAATCTAAATTCTTATTTCCAGAGTTGCCTTGGTGCCAATTTAAAGTTTAGGGGTTCAGCTAGACCCACACATCTTTTGAAAAGTATTGAATTTAATTAGCTACATTTAAATTCCTACAATGGCCAGCATATACAAAGACACTGGAATTAACAAGGTTTAGATTGTTATAATGGATTTACCCAAATTTCCAAGTCCTTTTATTCTGAAGAAATCTCAGTATTACTTACCACAAATAAGGCTCCTCCAGCTCCATTCTGCACAACTGTCTTATGCAAATTCCTTATATGTCTTCCCTGAAAATCAAAATTTCAAGTTCAGTAAATCACAAGCCTAAGAATATTTTCATTAAAAAGTACTTTCAGATCATAATTAAAAACAATAGAATCAACTTTTAGGAGTAAAAGATCTTAAGAGCAATGAACTAATACCCTACAGCCTGCCCAACTCTATTTGAAGAGAAGTAGGGAAACAGAGATCCAAACATTTTTTAACTTGCCTAAGGTTACATCAAACAGTCACTGGAAGAACCAAGAGTACAACCCAGATCTCCTGAGTTGTGTATCCTTGTATCCTTTCTACTCCACTCTGCTAGCAGGCATTCAGGAAGTTAATGTACCATGAACTTACTGCCTTTCCCTTTTGTCTGAATCAAGCTGGATGGCAACTCTTCTTATACGTGGACCTTCATAAACATGTTTTCATTTGTACAAATGAGTCATAAACTCTGCACAGATGAGTCAACTGTATCCCCCTTTTCAGTTCTTAACTAAATTCAATTAGCTATATTTAAATTCCTATTTTTAAGTTCAGAAACTTCAGCCTTAAAAGTAGTTTCAGTAGCTAGCTGTGATGCTGATTAATGCAGACTGGCCATGTTCAATTGTGTTGGGAGGAATCCACTGGATTGCTCTCTCTATTGATTTCATTTCTCTCTTGCCATCTTGCTCCACCCCCTCCCCCCCAAGAAAGCAATTCAACTCTTGTTCTGAAATTCTCCAATTTCTGAGTTGTACTAACCACAGATGGCAGAACACTGGATTAAACCAAGCGTGGAACTGACAAAGAGCTGGACAATTCAAAGAGGGCAAACAACAGAGAAGAAGGTAAAAGCAGTGCTATAACACAATCGTTAACCTTTCCCTAGGTCCAAACAATATTTCAGTTGCAGAAATAAGTCTGCATGGAACACTTGTTTTAATTAACAAGACAAGACCCCGGTAGAGAATGTGAGACATAGGTACAAAAGTATGGGAGTGAAAAATACCAATTTCAGGGTAACGGAGGAGGGTGCGATCAGAAATGTACACAAGGGAGCTTTAACCGTGTTCTTTCTTTTTTTAGGCAGCAGGTGGATACGCAAGTGCTTATTATATTCTTTATGCCTTTTTATGTCTTTATTATACAATAAATTTTAAAAAGAGAGGAAACTTATAGTCAAAAAGAAATTCTGTGTTCCTTTACTTTTATTCAATTTTTCCCAATTTGCCTGCCCAGAACCTGGACTGAGATAAACAAACATAAAAATAAGATCGTAATCAATAATACCTTAAGGACAAAATCAGCATAAAGCTCTGAAAAAAACTAACCAAAACTAAAATATGGAAGACAGTCCCTGTCATAAAGTTAGCTAAAATATTTTTTAAAAAGAAGAAAGAAAAAACAAAATTAAGAAGTATTAGTGAGTTACTTAACGAAATTCTAAGAAAAAACAAAGGATTTTGTAATAAAGTAAAGAAGCATTCATTTAAGATTGGGGGAGGGATTTAGTCCTCTTTTCTTAATTTCTGAACCCTAACTTTTTCTGTTTACTTTACTGGCTAGGTTTTGTACCTGCTCCCTGTAGGTTTTCCTCAAGGCTCAGTTCGCAACCCTATGATGCTTCGTCTCTTAGCGGTTAACCATTCTCATCTATTAACTCTGTTCTAATGATTGTTGAATCTTAACACACATCTGTTGACAAGAGGTTAACAATCTTAAGAGATCATAAACTCATATAAATCAATGAGAAAAGGAAGTAAACGACAAACAAAAACTTCACAGAATTCAAATACAAGTATACCTTGTTTTATTGTGCTTTACTTTATTGCACTTCGCGGCTACTGCGTTGTTCACAAACTGAAGGTTAGTGGCAACCCTGCATTAAGCAAGTCTATCAGCACCATTTTCCCAACAGCATGTGCTCACTTCGTGTTTGTGTCACACTTTGATAATTCTCACAATATTTCAAACTTTTTCATTATTATTGTATCTGTTATAGTGATCTGTGATCAGTGATCTTTGATGTTACTATTGTAAGTTAATTGCATTGAGGTGCCACAAAATTCACCCATATAAGACAGCAAACTTAATGGAAAAAAGTTGTGTCTGTTCTGACTGCTCCACCAACCAACCATTTCCCGCCTCCTTTCCTCAGGGCTTCCTATTCCCTGAGACACGACAATATAGAAATTAGGCCAGTTAATAACCCTGCAATGGCCTCTCAGTGCTCAAGTGAAAGGAAGAGTTGCATGTCTCTCACTGACTCAAAAGCTGGAAAAGATTAAGCTTAGTAAGGAAGGCATGTCAAAAGCCAAGACAGGCCAAAAGTTAGGCCTCTTGCACCAAACAGTTAGACAAGTTTGAATGCAGAGGAAAAGCTCTTGAAGGAAATTAAAAGTGCTACTCCAGTGAATGCTATATGAGTCAGAACCAACTCAAGGGCACCTAACAACAACTCCAGTGAACACAACAATGATAAGAAAGCAAAACAGCCTTATTATTGATACGGAGAAAGCTTTAGTGGTCTAGACAGAAGATCAAAGCAGCCACAACATTCCCTTAAGCCAAAGCCTAATCCAAAGCAACGTCCTAACTTTCTTCCATTTTCTGAAGGCTATGAGAGGTGAGGAAGTTGCAGAAGAAAAGTCTGAAGTTAACAGAGGTTGATTCATGAGTTTAAGGAAAGAAGCCATTGCTATAACATAAAAGTGTAAGGAGAAGTAGCAAGTGCTGATGTAGAAGCTGCAGCAAGTTATCCAGAAGAACTAGCTAAAATAATTGACGAAGGATGGCTGCACTAAACAACAGATTTTCAGTGTAGATGAAACAGCCTTGTATTGGAAGAAGATGCCATCTAGGACTTTCATAGCTACAGAGAAGTCAATGCCTGGCTTCAAAGCTTCAAAGAACAGGCTGACTCTCTTGTTAGGGACTAATGCAACTGGTGATTTAAGTTGAAGCCAAAGCTCATTTACCATTCCAAAAATCCTAGGGCTGTTAAGAATTATGCTAAATCTACTCTGCCTCTGCTCTATAAAAGAAACAAAAAAGCCTAGACGACAGCACATCTGTTTACAACATGGTTTACTGAATATTTAAGCCCACTGTTGAGACTGACTGCTCAGAAAAAAAGATTCCTTTCAAAATATTACTGCTCATTGACAATGCACCTGGTCATCCAGGAGCTCTGATGGAGATGCATAAGGAGATTAATGTTGTTTTCATGTCTTCTAAGAAAACATCCATTCTGCAGCCCATGGATCAAGGAGTAATTTCAACTTTCAAGTCTTATTATTAAGAAATACATTTCTCAAGACTATAGCTGCCATAGATAGTAATTCCTCTGATGGATCTGGGCAAAGTAAACTGAAAAATTCTGGAAAGGATTCACCATTCTAGATGCCATTAAGAACGCTTGTGATTCAAAATATCAAATTAACAGGAATTTGGAATAAGTTGATTCCAACCCTCATGGATGACTTTGAGGGGTTCAAGACTTCAGTGGAGGAAGTAACTGCAGACGTGGTGGAAACAGCAAGAGAACTAGAAGTGGAGCCTGACGATGTGGCTGAATTGCTGCAATCTCATAATGTAAAACTTTAATGGATGAGGAGTTGCTTCTTATGGATGAGCAAAGAGTGGTTTCTTGAGATGGAATCTACTCCTGGTGAAGATGCTGTCAACATTGTTGAAATGACAACAAAGGATTTAGATTACATAAATTTAGCTGATAAAGCAGCAGCAGGGTTTGACAGGATTGACTCAAATTGTAAAAGAAGTTCTGCTGTGGGGAAAATGCTATCAAACAGCATTGCATGCTGCAGAGAAATCTTAAGTGAAAGGAACAGTCAATTGATGCAGTAAACTTCACTGTTGTCTTACTTTAAGAAACTGCCACAGCCACCCCAGCCTTCAGCAACCACCACCCTGATCAGTCAGCAGCCATCAACATGGAGGCAAGACCCTCACCAGCAAAAAGATTACGACTCGCTGAAGGCTCAGATGATGGTTAGCAGTTTTTAGTAATAAAGTATTTTTGAATTAAGGTATGTGCATTGTTTTTTTAGACATAATGCGACTGCACACTAACAGACTACAGATAGTGTAAACATAACTTTTTTGTATACTAGGAAACCAAAAACTTTGTGTGACTCGCTTTATTGTGATATTCAGTTTACTGCAGTGGTCTGGAACCGAACCCACAATATCTGAGGTATGCCTGTGGTAGTTAATAAACTTATCAGTAATTAAAAACATTAAACTTTAAATAAGATAATACTTCCACCTATTAAATTAGCAAAGCTTTTATAAAAAGATAACATTCAATTCTGTTGAGCACATGGAGAGATTGGCATGCTTACACATTAGCTAAAAATTGGTACAGCCTTTTAGAAAAGCAAATTGGCATGAGTATGGAGATCCTAAAAAAGTTTCCATCTCTTAATCTAATAATTCTACTTTTAGAAATTTATTCTACAGAATGGAATAAAATGAGGATAAAGTTTTAAATACAAGTATGTCGTTTTCTGTAATGTTCTTTAAAACGCGGGCAACCCAAAAGCCCATTATAGGGTGGTTTTAAATAAATATTGATAATTCAACACTGGAATATTATGTAGCTAACAAAAATCACGTTTCCTAAACATAACAGCATAGGAAACCACTGGAAAATAACAGAGTTAAGCAAAATAAAATAAACCAACAAAAAAGTATAAAGTATCATTCCAATTATATCAAATACAGAAATTAATGAGAAGATTGGAAGGCCATAAACCATTAAAAGTGCTTACTCTATTATTATGTTAACAAGAGTATAAGGGCCTCATATTTTGTTTCTTATATTTTCCTCTATTTTCCAAGTTTTCTATTTAGCATGTTTTAATATGAAAAATTGAAAAAAATCTTATTTAAAACATTAATCATGTATGAAATGAAACATCACCTCAACCGTAAAACCTTTTAACTCCTTCCAACTTCCCTGTATATCTCATTAAACACCACCAACTCTTGGCTTCTGTTTTAGGATAACATCCTT